TCTATGATTCTATGATCTGCTTAGAAGTAGTTATGTTGAAGAAGTTTGCAAATAATAGAATTCCAATACTGAATTTTCATAATACTCATGCATATATCACAATCCCCAGCAGGTGTTGCATTTACTACCTGATGTCTGTGGGTGCTACAGCTCATCATAGGTTAAATAACCCACACTGTGCCATGATGTGAGCCTAGTCTTTGTGTGCCTGAATCTAGACTGAACCTAGTATTTGTGTGAATGGATGTGTTCACAGTGCCAGCTTTATGTTTCCGAGGGCAAGGTATCTTGGGCGAGAAGTTTTCAATGGACCCTTTCCTTGGTGAATATACCTTTTCACCCATTGGCACCAGCTGTCATTCTTCCTCATCCTCTTTCTCATCATTGTTATGAGTTCTTGCTTGGCAAGTATAGGACCAGTGAGCAAGTAGTAATGACATCTACTGCTATTTATCTTCACCTCTGTCATTGAGTGGGCCAGAGAGAGAGAGTGAGAGAAGTGAACACACAAGTTGCAAAGGTGAAGCAAAGAACAAGTCCAGCAGCAATTTTCACAGCCTGCTTGGTTGCGGGCCCTCAGAAGGTGTCCAATCATGTCCATGCCTAACACTGAAACTGACCGTGTGTGCAAGAGATTAAGGGAGAGGCAGCATAGCTTGGCTACAAAGGTGATCAGGAACTAGTATTACTACCTGGTTCATAGAACTTTAATTTTGTTCTCATTCTTGTAATTTTGAAATTGAATTCCAACATGTGTACGATTGCTACCATCAGAACCATCCCTAGAAGCATCTCTAAATTGCACCTATTTTTAAAGAACTGGTCCTCAGCCATGGACAAACTAACCACGTTTCCTTTTTCAGTGATTATAGGAAACACCTAAATGTTAAATTGTTAATCCTTGTGGAGGAAATCCTTTCTTTTAAGAAAGCTGTCTTTCTTAAGCTTGTGAAATCTTCTTTTCACATAGAGCACAGCCTTGCCAAAATGCCATGACTCCTAATAAAGTCTACTTATTTCTGGGATTTCTCTTTGCAACTGTTTAGTTTGCAACTGTTTAAATGCCTTGAGAACCACAAATACTCTTTTTGTGGATACTATTATATCAGTAATTACTGATAAGGAATAGTTTATCCAAGATTAGAGCTATCTTTATATATCCATACATTCAAATAATGCTGGAACTATTTGCCTGGTACCACAAAAGAAGAATAAAAAGTAGTCTTATTACGCTTACCTACAGAGAATATTAGTATGAACCAGTTAGGGCAGGTGATAACAATTAACCTCACTGTCAGCTTTGCTTGGGTGTGCAGTGCACTGGCTAGTCACACTGCAGGACGTTCAACAGTTTGAAGAAGCATTTCTTTTAACCTGGGGTTTCTAAGAAAAAAAATCCATTCTAAACTAAAAATATGAGCAATTATGGACCAACAGAAATATCTAGCTAAAGAAAGGTAAAACTGTAAATGCACTCTAAGATACTGCCAGATAACTGGTGTATATCGGGGGGAGGGTTGAAGACAGGATTTTTATGACCTTTGCTGCAGTCAGCAAAGCACTGGGAGGAAAGGCATTCCTTCCCCGGCTTATGGGTGGAATATGTTGGGCAGAGAGCATTAACATTCTTCCTTCTCAGAGTTTTAGACCTGAACAGAAGTCATTCAGGGCTAATTTACGTACACATACATATACACATACATATCTTTTCATAGGTGTGCATTGGCATTTTACTTAACCCTACCCACCCCTTTATTTTTTTGGGAGGAAGAGAAAAAGGGCTGTTGAAACAGAAGTGAAAAATGTATGTGCACACACTGTGAAAACCTGTAAAATATAAACAGGTATGTTGCTAATGTTACATAAACAAGACCAGTCTATTAATTCCAGCTCACGAGAAGCATACCTTTTAAATATATTGCACAAGTGAAAGAGGGGGGTATTTTGGCAGTCCACACTCTGTCTCAAAAGAGAGTGATTCTAGAGAGGTTGCATTTAACATGATGCTGAGTCAGTGTTGCTCATTTGCTTTTTTATTTTTTTGTGCCACCTATAACAGTACTAGAGCCAATTGTCAGTCTCTGAGGAGAATTCTATTGGCACTGTTACTATAAGCATGGCAAAAATGCACACATTGTTAGAAAAAAAGAGAAAAAAGTAATCCCTACCATACTTTCACCAATGTCAGCACACCTGGATACTTTTGTCCTACCTCCTAAAACTGACCGGTGAATGAGGTGGCAAATTAGAATGTGAGTTATTTCAGTCCATTAAAATATGCATAATCATACGGAAGGTGGAGCTCGATGAACCACAAACCAGAATTAAGATTGCTGGGAGAAATATCAACAACCTCAGATATGCAAACAATACCACTCTAACGGCAGAAAGTGAAGAGGAACTAAAAAGTCTCTTGATGAGGGTGAAAGAGGAGAGTGTAAATGTTGGCTTGAAACCCAGCATTAAGAAAACTAAGATCATGGCATCCAGTCCTATCACTTCCTGCCAAATAGATGGGGAAGAAATGGAAGTAGTTACAGATTTTATTTTCTTGGGCTCCAAGGTCACTGCCAAGAAATTAAAAGACACTTGCTCCATGGGAGGAAAGCTAGGGAAAATCTAGACAGCATACTAAAAATCAGAGACATCACCCTGCTGACAAAAGTTCATACAAAGCTATGGTTTTCCTAGTTGTGATGTATGGCTGTGAGAGTTAGACCATAAGGCTGAGTGCTGAAGAATTTATGCTTTTGAATTGTGTTGTTGGAGAAGACTCCTGAGAGCCCCTTCGACTGCAAAGAGATCAAATCAGTCAGTCCTAAAGGAAATCAACCGATTGCTCTTCAGAAGGACAGATACTGAGGCTGAAGCTCAAATACTTTGGCCACCCAGTGAGAAGGAAGGACTCATTGGAAAAGACCCTGATGCTGGGAATGATTGAAGGCAAAAGGAGAAGGAGACAGCAGAGTTTGAGGTGGCTAGATGGGGTCACTGGGGCAGTGGGTTTGGGCTTGGGTGGACTCTGAGGGATGGTGGAGGACAGGAGAATCTGGAGGAATGTTGTCCATGGGGTCGCAAAGACTCAGGCACGACTTTGAGATTGAACAACAAAAATCATAAGAATGAATGCAATTTTCATACCAATGATCATGTATATACCACTGTTATACAATATAACTAGTTGTTATGTAAATAGCAATTTTATGGCTGACTGTGAGATTCTTGTTAACTTTTATTCTGTGTGTGTTCCTTCAGGGCTAGTTATAGCACAGTCCCAAACATCCTTGCTCAGAAGTAAAGTCAATGTATCTTCAGTGAGAACTTTTGAGAAAGTTAGGCTACCCTAATCAAATGTGCAAAGAAAAGACAAGAAAAGGAAGCTAGCAAAACCTATAGTAATTTTGTACTCCAACTTGAAATCCACTTCAGAATTTCCTTTTGACATTGGCATGAATTAAAGGAAAATGTTAATTTGAAAGAAGGATTTCCTTTTTGTCCATTAAAAATAACCAATATTTTTACTACTTCTGTTTATTTATGTCCAGTTAGGCACACAGAAACATCGAAACAGAGTGAGTCAGAAGGGGTCTCCTGGGCCATCTAGTCTGACCCCAGCTCCAGCCGGCTCTACTCATGACATCCCTACCATGTGCATGTCCAGCCTATTCATGAACATCATCACAACCTCAAGCAGGGCCCATTCCATACCCTTAGGGTCCTAACCATCAGGAAGTACTTCCTGGCATCTACCCTGAATCTTGGTTCCCTGAACTTAGCTCTTTTGGAACACATCCTGCCCTGCACTGCAGAGGAAAAAAGTTCACGTCCCACATCTGTGTGGTACCCCCTCACATAACTGTATGTTGCTAACAGGCCCCCTCTGAGTCTCCTCAAGGCAGAAAAGACCCAGCTCCTTCAGTCTCTCTTCATATGGCTTACCCTGCAAAGCAGCCACCATCCTAGTGGCCCTTTACTGCACTGATTCCAACCTTGCAATGTCCCTCTTGTAACGAGGGGCCCAGAACTGAACAGAATACTCCAGCTGCAGGGGCACCAGAGTCGTATAGATTGGCAGTAATACCTCTCTCAATCTAGAAGCCATGCTTCTGGCTATGCATCCAAGGGTTCACCCTCTTGACAGCCACATCACACTGCTGACTCACGTTTAGCCTGTAGTTGACTAGCACCCCGAGATCCTTTTCACAAGTGCTGTTCTCCAGCCATTTGTCCCCTAACCTGTACTTAAGACACCCATTCCTATGCCCCAAGTGCAAGACATGCCATCCTGTTGTCCCCGACCAACTTCCATAGTCTGTCCAGGTCCTTTATAGAAAATTATAGAAGACACATTTCACTGAACGCTCAATTTAATACACATCAATTTCATGCAGCATAATCCTTGGCTATATGCAACGAATATCTTTGGAGTTGGAAAGCTGATCAAACCTGGAGTAGTTCAGAAAGCTTACAGACTTGCTTCCAATTATTTCTTTCTTTGCTTTTTAATAGGAGTCATTTTTAAGGAAACAAGGGCAGATACAATTTGATTGCCTGATTTCACTTGGTGAGAATTTAAAGTTCTTATAAAAATGTCATCACTATGTACAAGAAATGTCAGGATGACTGTTTAAGATGAGAGAAAAGCCCCTTTGCTTGTGAATTACTGCTTTCTCTGTGAGTGCATATAAATGCAGAAAGTGTCCCTCCCCCTACACCCTTTCTAGAGGAAGTTTGTTGATGTATTGCTGACACGGCTTCTTCAAAAACACCAAGAACAAAAAAGAAAGAACACACACACACCACGAAACCACAGCAGCCATTCAAAGGCGAGACGTGCATTGATTTGTTCTACTGGAGAGTGGAACAGGAGTCTGCAGAACTCATGATGAAAGAGCACTGTAGTACCTACAGCACTGTTGGTCCAAACTGTGTCAGCAATACCACCATGGAAAGTCTGCAGTCGCTCAAGCCTAACTACATGTCTATGTGTTTATTTGCAGAAGAATCTTATCAAAAATTAGCCATGGAAACTTTGGAAGAATTGGACTGGTGTTTAGACCAACTTGAAACTATTCAGACCTACCGATCTGTTAGTGAGATGGCATCAAATAAGGTAAGAGAAATACATTTTTAAAGATAACTAATGATAAATAATATAGAGAATATCAAATAGTACTCAAAATTTAAAAAATGATATTGTGTAAACAATTTAAAAGGTTTTTATATATGCAGTTATGTCTGCCAGCAGATTCACAGCTGACTTAATTTAAATAAAGTTAAAGGAAGTTGATGAGTGCTTCCACCCCAGCCAGCACCAGCCCTGCACCAAATATTGTTAGCTTTGATAATTACATTGTTGCAAAAACAACAACAGTGCAAACAAGTGATATTAAACTTTGTAGGTCCTCAAGCAGACCATAATTGTACAAGAAAGTTGCTTGCTGAGTAAGCATATGTCACATTATAATACCTAGACAGTGTGTAAATTCTGAAAGGATATTCTTGTATGTATTTATGAATGATTCCAGAATGATTTATTAGATTATTCTTTAACTATGCAGCAATAGAGCAGTGAAAAGAATGATGGGAGTTAGAAATATTAAAGCAGCAATATTAAAGTAGATCTATTCTGATGGTAGTACGATACTACTTTCTACAGTATCGTGCAAGTTTTGGAAATGTTTTCAGTAAATTAATTGCTTGTGATGCTGATTACTACAAATTGCAATTGTCACTCATCACTCAGTATATATGGCATACTGACTTTATTTTAAGTTACTGTATAGTTCATTATGAAAGAAAAGCTTTCATTGTTTATATAACAATAGATGCATATGTAATGAGAGCATGCTACATATTATCCCACATAAACATTGGGGTATTTTTAAATGGAGTAAAAGGGGATGCTGAAAAGTTCGTGGAAAACTAGTGTTCTACTTATAATCAGCTCAATTGACTTGGAAAGTTGCACTGATCTCTATTAGATACACTCAAGTTGGGATTAATCATTATATTTCCTCTAAAGAAATATCTTATTGTGCCTAACCTTAAAAGACTTAGAAATGAACTTTTCCTTCTATAGTGCAAAAACTAAGGTTTAGCCTGTCTTTACTTTTATCTATTTCTATGTTACTTCAGGCCATTCCTGAATTGGCTAGTGGCCTGAATACTTATGAACAAAAGGTACACCTTCTTCCTTGAGGCAGCTGTGTTCCCAGCCACTTAATCTGTAGCTCATGTTTTTCTAGGCAGCCCAGTGAGTTCTTCTACATTGGTAATACAGGGACATTATACACCCTTCTTTAATCAACTGCGCTGTGACATATGTATTAGCATATATTACTTTCTCCAGGTGCAGTTATGTATACCTTTACATGGAATTTTCTGATCAGCAAGCTGATTTTGGTCCCATCTGGAAAGGTATCAACTTTCACACATTCTTTTCAACACTTCTTATTAATCCTTCTTAATATCCCATTTTCAACTCCATGTGCTACAAAATCCAGTGCTAGGTCTTCTTTGTCACAGTTGCATTTGAAGGTGTAACTTGTTCCAAATATGTTTGAATTTGTCAAAATAGTCAAAAAACAGCATTCACAAACCAACTTGCCACTGATAAATCCTTTAATTTTGGGCAGGTCACTGCCTTGCACTTTGCTCCCTGTTGTTAACTTAGGAATTGATAATCAGCCTCACAAGGTTGTTGTAAGGGATACTGATTATACAATGTTTTGCACAGTAAATGTTCTATATAAAGGATCAGCAATTATGTGAATAGAATAAAACTGAGTATTGCATCATTTCAGTATTTACCCAGGCTTCAGAGTCTCTCTCAGTTCTTAGCTGTGAAACAAAATGTAGGAGGAAATTAATGTAGAAACATGACCTTCCTGTGAAAAAGGCATTTCCCCTCTCATTTTTATTATAGTTTGCCTGTTTTTCCTGTTAGGTTATAATAAAAGGTGTATCCTTATGGCTCTTCAGGACTGGAATATTAGTTGGAGGAGAGCCATGCAGCTTGACACTTGCAGCTGAAAGTAAAGAATGAATTGAGCTTTTGGAGGTTATTAAGAAGTCTCTTAAAAGATGTTTGTTAATGAAGTTATTGTTGAGTTTCCACATCTGTGAAGTATCTGAATAATCTGCCTTCCTTCTGTCAAATGCTTTTGCACAGAGATTTTGTAATAGCAAAACATTCTAATATTTTGAAAACAGGAAGTTTCTAGCTCCACATCAGTAAAGAAGGACAGAAAGAGAAGCAGCAGGGAAAGAAAAAAGCAAATAGTCCCAGCATGATCCCAAGTGCAAGAGCTGAATAAACAGTGAACTATCTTCCTAACCTCTCCTATTGCTAAGTTTCTGGCCTTGTGCCACAGAAGCCAAAACTACGTCATTTGAGAATCATAGTGGGCATGGCACAACTGTTTTAAGTGTGACTCAAATTTCCTGTCTCCTTCCTGACAGATGGTAGTTTCAAAAGTACAGCATTGCAAAAACAATCAACAAAAGAGAGGAAGATTAATCTCCAGTGTCTTTATTCAAAATTGGTAACAAACTATATTCTTGATCATTCGATGATGGGCAAAAGAGCCCTGAGTGGAAGTATTCTGTTTCCAGAAGTTGCAGATATTTCTTAAGTTACTTCATTATTCAGGAATATGAGAAATTTAATCTCTGAGATTTATAGGTGGGTGAGTTAGCAATGCAGATGCACGAGCTCAACTTATGGTGTTGACGATTGGTTCAAGATACATTTCTTGTGTTTTGGTGCAATTAGGTAACTTTAGACTTTAGGACTTAATGGTTTCAGGGCCAGGGGTTCCCTCTTTAGCTGGCAATGTATATTTCTTAATTTACTTCAAAACAGGTCAAGCCATCCCATTGGCATTTGGAGGCTATTCTACTTATTTGATTGAGTGAGTCCCTAGACCAGGGGTCCTCAAACTTTTTGAATAGGGGACCAGTTGAAAGGCTGCGGTGACCATCATAGGCTGGGGAGGTGGGGGTGCCTGTGGGCACGGGCCGGTGAGGTGACGTCGGGTGTGCATGAGGTGGCATCGGGTGCGCGGCAGTGGTTCTCTCGCTCGGAGATCTCCCAGCGAGTCTAAAACCGTCTCCGAGTGAGCAAGCCACCGCCTCCCCGCCCGTGCTGTGAGGCAGTGGTGAGTGCGCATTTACGGCAGGCAGGTGGCAGTGGCTTGCTTACTCGGAGACCATCTCCAAACAAGCGAGCCACCACTTCCCCACCCATGCTGTGAGGCAGTGGTGAGTGCTCGTATGAGAGGCAGGCAGCGGCAGCAGCTTGCTTGCTTGCTTGGAGACCATCTCCGAGTGAGCAAGTCACCACCTCCCCGCCTGTGCAGCAAGCACATGCGCGGGCAGCAAATGGCGGCATGGGCCGGATGGATGGCCATGGTGGGCCGGATCCGACCCGCGGGCCGTAGTTTGAGGACCCATGCCCTAAACTTTTGCCTCAAAGTCCCATCCTGATGACTTATAATGAAAACTTTCAGCATAGTTTTAAGTCCAAATCCTGAATATATTCAGGATTAAATTGTAAAATGCAATATATTTCTAGAGCATTTGTTGGGGTTACCATTTTAGATCTGAGTACAAGTAGAGAATGTGTGTGTGCACACCTGCATGTGCACTTGTGCACTGAAAAGACCTGCTAGCTTAAGACAATCTCACATTGGCTCATGGTCCACAAAGCCAGGAAATTAGAAGCTCATTCATTTTATATGGTGGCATCGCTTTTTGGAACTCACTTTAACAAAAGGACTGTATACACATGCATACACACAAGCATATATTCAACCTAAGTCAAATGGATATTTATTTTTAAAGAATTTGTAGCTTTGGCATGCAGCATATGTATGTCTGTTTAATTATTATACAATAGACATTAAGTGTGTAGCACAAATGCATTTGAAAAATAACAATATGCAGTCTGAAATGAGCATGGTGGCAACCCCATCTCATGTAATACAGGACCCTAACAAAAGAAGGCACCAAATAATAAGTCCCAGTATATTCATGTCTTCGATATTTTAACACAGATTTCCACACTTCATGTTTTTCTATGTTCTCCTATAAAACTGCATACCACAATCATCTTATTTTTTATAAAAAAGTCAAAAACTATAAAAAAGAGAGATCAGAAATGATTTCAGTACCTCTTTATGTCACCTAGCCAAGGAAGTAGGTTCTCAGCACAGCTTGCTGAAGTTCTTAATGTATTTAGTCTTTACCTAGGAAATAAGTTAGTGCATCCTGTTTTGCTCCTATGACTGGAAAATTTATGTTTCTTCCTTTGTCTTCACTTATAACTTCATCTCTTTCATTTATGGTGATGTCATTTATAATGACATCACTGAAGTAAGCTGAGCAGTGGTCTGCACAAGCACACCAGGATGGTGTTTCAGAACCATTTAAAGCGTTCAGAGGGTTTGCAGCCTTTCACCACATTGGCACATGCCAAAATGTTTTCTTGTGACTCATCTCTCCTTTGTTAGCATTTTCATAGTAGACTATTGTCTCCATTATCTGTAAACTAAAATCTATTGCAGTGCACAGTATTTCAACAGAGGTTTCAGTCGTGTAAGATGCACAAGGCCATGCCTCAGTTTGAGGAGGCCAAATAAACTAAACAAGAAGACACAAATGTCTTCTTCTGGAGGTAACTCCTGGCTGCCTGCCAGCTGTCTATGTGCCTTATTGCACAATGTTCATATTGGGCAAGGGTGTGTGCGTGCATGTGGGGGTGGGTGGCTTGCAGTGCGTCCTGCTCACTTGGTACGTGATCTTTCCCTTAAGGTTTGCCAGACTGTTCTTGCTTTTTAGTTTACTGTAACTTCCATTGTTTAATATACATTACAAAATACACATGTCTCCAAAGACTTGGATAAGCAGTCGGGCAGGCTGCTAGAAAACCTGCTGCCTCTGTTCTCTCCCATCCTGCCCTCACTTTTTAAAGTGAAGTTAAAAATCAAGGGTTTTCCCACAGATGTACAATCTTCTGTTTTTTGACACACAAGTTGCTCAGCTGTCCTTCTTCGTCGTGGCCTCTGTGCATCACACATATAGGTGCTGCGCCTGCGCAGTGCCTTTGGC